ATGTTCACTACCCTCTCTACCCTCTAGGACCACACTGAAAGCAACCGAGCAGGGGGGCGGCCGCTGCGTCTGGGCCTGTAGCACAGTGTAAATGCTTCTGGGTCATTCAGCTCATAGTGTGGCAGCAGCACAATGCTGAGCATCCCGTCACACGTGGCAGAAAGATAAGCCCATAGGGGAGCAGCGGCTGGCTGATGAACATTTACCGCAATGCCGATCATTGTGTTTAGATGAAACAAACTAGTGTTGCTAGGCAAATCCAGCATGGAGATTATGGCAGGGATGGAAAAACCTATTTAGAATCTAATCCACCAGGATGACATTAACATGTACAGAGTTTAAGTAGCTTATAAATGCCCTGCCGCAGCAACAGTTCGGAGTCAGAGCATTTTAGCAGGAACGTTGACAGTCTCTCGAGGATCCCCCGGAGAACTCTGTCACCGACTACCGCAATCGGCTTTGCTAACAACCCTGAAGTTAAATATGATGTTGAGCGAAAGTAGAACTATGATGAATTATGGCATTAGAGATTTGCTGAAATATGTAAGTTTGAAGAAAAACACATTAGCTGTGGTGAAACACAGTGCTAAGGTCTGAGAATAAAAAGGGCCTTTGTGTTTGTTTTTGTTTCCTTTGTTATCCCTGCTTTAGTAAAGAGAGAGAGAAAGAGCAAGTCCACCTAAAATCACAGTATGTTTTTCCAGTCAGAGTTCATTTGAAAGTGACTGTAAACTGTGACTATAAAAGGATTGTCCTTTAGCATTCAGAACTGAATGGGAAGACTGGTGTATGCGTTTGATTGACAGCTGAGGTGACGGCATAGAAACTTAATGTCATGTCATAACATAATAACAATCATCTGTCACTGTCAAATCAAAGACAGGTTTAATTAGCAGAGCTTCTGAAGAACACGGGCCATAACTTAAACCATCTGAACTAAACTTGACAGGTAGGTTTTTCAGCTGTTTCATGTGCTACAGCTGACAAGCTAATTAGCTAGCCTGCAAAATGACGCTTAGAATGGCAATAAAAAGCAAATGTGATTGGTCAAAGTCATTCTCTCTAATGTGTAAATAGCAGCTGTCTGACAGTTAGTGACATAATGATTGCTTTGTGCAAAGAAAAATCCAAATGAATGAATCTGATTAGGGATATTTAAAGGTGTTCTCTAACAATGTCCACAGAAAACCCGTGACATTTCAAATGATATGGTGCTGTCATTAAGCAAATAAATATAAAATATAAATTTCTCCTGAAAGGAAGTCATTTTTCCCCACATTAGATGCATGGGTGTGGTTGGTAAGTCCACAACTCTGGTCTGGATTGACATATGTGAACAACTACTCTACTGATTACCACAGAGTTTTGTACAGACATTCATAGTCCTAATGAGTCTGTTGATCCCTTTACATTTACCATCACCAAAAAGTCAAAATCTGAGTTTGTCCAAAGCTTTATGACCAAATACATGCAAAACTAGGTGCAAAACTCACACTAACAAATATTAGTATGTAAACACATTAAACTAACTGTCACTGTCACTGTTGCATGCTGATGTTAGCATTTAGCTTAATGCAGCACAGGGCCACAGTAAAGCCTCATAGAGCTACTAGCATGGCTGCAGGCATTTTTCTAAAACACAAACACGTGGTATGTATAGCTTGCATAGCAGATAGAGTGTGTATGCTTTAGGAGGAAATAAATAATCAATTACTTTAATTACTTCTTTATAATGACCAGCGAGAGACTGTGTCACTTACTGCTGCTGTTGTACTCTCCATTAGACCTTTTCTGTACATTTTCTACTGTATATGTATTACGCAACAAGTGACACCCACATTTATAAATCTGTGGGATTTCACATAAAAGGCATGACATGAATTAAACTTAAATTGTCTTAAACTCCACCATAATGTAATGTACTGTAACACAGAAGCTACATACTGTATGTTACAGTTCAATGATGAAATCCTAATCTGGCTGTTTAAAAGCTTCTGAAACCTGAAAAGTCAGCGGGGATGAGATTGTGCTGTACGATACACAACATCAGCTCCAAACCCTTCTCTGTGTGTCCTGTACAGTATATTTACCCAGCTGGGGGTCCTGTGGGAACATTCAAAATTAGCAGTGGGTAGTGAAAGGTCACAGAGCAGTAGGAATGGAGATCCTGTTGACACAATTTGTCCAGTCATATTTCTGTCCTTTGGTCAGAGACGAGTGCCCACATCTAGAAATGGGAAACAAACCAAAACAGCATGACCCCATAAATTATCTATGTTAATGTCTGACTGCTAAAATGTGATGTGGCGACAATGGTTTCAATCTGGTTGCTAGAGATGTCCTTTTAAGAAGAACAGGCACCATGTAGCAGCACAAGCTGCTAAAAAAAAACAAAAAACAAACAAAACCCAGGGAACATATTTTACCAGAGGCACCCTCTGAAGAGTCACAGCAGACTTTTGCCTGAGTGTGTTTTACAGGTGTTTAAACAGGAGTGTCTGCAGCAGTGAAACCGGTAAAAGCAGGCAGTCAGAGCCTCCGGAGGAGTTGTTTTTCAGAGGCCTGTATGGTATGCATGTGTGTCCCGACCCACTCAGTCCCACCTCATGGCTGGCTGGTTGGCATTCCTATCTCCCTCTGTAATTATGGCTCTTCTCCAGGCCTCTTAGTTCAGCCTTTACTGCACTGCCATGCTCCTACAGGGCGGGACCTGTCTCTGATGAAGGCGCACACTTTTCACATTTCCATTTAGCTCAGGCTCTAATTTTAACATCAGTGTATCACTAAACAAAAATATGCTTTGACAACAGTGACAGGCAACAGTTGTTGTCTTCATGGTACAGACCACATGGACTTAGCATGTAAAAATTAGAGCACACAGGGGGATCAGAAATGTTATACATTATGTGTTCATACGGGACAGACACCTGTTAGTTGTGCTGCGAGACACATTTCAGGTTAAGGTTTCTGGTCTCAGTTTCAAAAGCTGTTATTTTCTGTCTAAGTGCCTCTTACCCCACTCCTAAATTGCACCCCAAACCTCTCTGCAGAGGCAAAATAGCCTGAGAGAGACAATAGACTGATTAACTTTCATTTATCTACATTTATCTTATTCTAAAATAGATAATTTTGTGTTGTTAACTTTTTAATATTATGGGACTTACAGTATACAGTGATGTGTTTACAGACAGTAAAAAATGAAACATAAGACCAAAGCCTACGAAACTTGTACAAACCCCACAGGAAATAAGCAAATATTTGGCAATGACAGTGTTTCAAAACTTTGTCGCCACCACTATAATAATGAGAACTTGACAAACCGATTAAATACACTATCAGCGTGTGAAAAGAAATGTCACAGAATTTCAGACAATCGACTCCATTCATGCAGTTGGGGGCACATGACGCGCCTGCAGCAAAAGGATTAGGACAATCAGCTGAGCGCGACTAAATACCACATTGTTCCTCGCTGCTCACTGCTTGTTTTTCCTGCAGCCCTCTATACAGCTTATCATAGCACGACAGACCCAAATTGCTCCCTCCTACACCTGCCAAAGTTCAATCACTCACAGTCCACTTCCCAATGTAAACTGCTAACAAGCCACTATGGTCATGCCAAAATGTGCCTACTGTTTTTTTCTTCATTGTTTCAAACAGCACCTCAAGGAACTCATGTTCACTTTCATGTTAAACACAGCAAACTGTGATAAAGAGGATCAGCTTTGGACCTGAGATCACAGAGTGCACACTGCTGTCTTTGTTCACAGGTCGCATCAGTATTTTGACTGACAGAAGGCAGCGACACAGCACGCTGCTGCGTGAATGTATCAGAAAGGGCATGTGCCAGCCTGAACTCATCCTCCATTCAGGCTCTCATTGTCTCTGCTCCACGCTGATAACAAACAACACACACCATGCAGACACATCTCATCTACTGTAAAAGGCTGATGTGGCAGTCTGTCCAACAAATTACAGGCAAGTCAGAGTCAAAACAAAGACATACTATTACACATATTGGCGGCCATGGTTCACAGGGAACTTCTCTGCTCTTCTGATTGGCACCATGCAGGAACATTAGTCTCTGAAAGTTACAATTTTTAACTTAACACAAAACCTTTTGGGGAAACAGTTCTTGCCAACAATTAGATTCAAAGAGTGACAGCATGTCTGTATGGTAAATAGGTAGCAGGAGCTAGGAGCCAACATCTGTTAGCAGAGTAACAATATCTCACTGGCTGGTTCTGCCTGCAAAACATTGGATATACAGAAGATTGCACACAGCAAAAGCTACGGAACTGAAAATCCACCATGGCTTAATAAGAAAAGTATTAGAGTAACACAGCAAAATATACACATCACAGCAAACCCTTATTCCTTAACAGCTAATGTGTTTTGCACAGAAAGCATTTTGAATGCACAGTTAAACCTGGAAGAGGCACATCAGCAGCGTCGTGCTTTTGAGAGAGGACAGTGAAGCAGAGACTCTCAACCCACATCAGGCCTCTTTGCCAGTGAAACAGCTGTAACAGCGATTGAAAAGCTCCCAGATGTCCTCACCTGGTGCTCAAGTGAACAGGCCTGTGTTTGGAACAAACGGCGACGTGCGCAGCAGACGAGCACACGAACAATATATGCCTTGGCTCAAACCACACAAACATCAGTGGCAATGAACAAACACATTCATGGTTGACTTTCCTCTGTACCATTCTTACTTGCTGTGGAAAGTGAGTGTGCTGCAGTAGATTACTAATTTCCACTGTTTCCCTAAGCACTGCTGATCTCAAACCTTCCTTCCTAGTGGCCTTTGGAAACCAGACTTTTGTTTTTTTTTTAACCTTTTTTTCCAACAGGTTAGGTGTAATCACATTATGAGTGTCAAACTATCATGGGAATATTGATTTTAGGTGTAATGACAATATGGGGACAATGAGTTGCCTTGGTGGAGTTTTGTGCACTCTGAGTGCTGCCAAGTTAAATACAGTTTTAAGAAGATAGCTCACCTATATAGAGTGAGGAGTCTTTCTTCTTCACATGATCATCGATGTAGGACACCCCTAGAGGCTGCACCGGCGTGGCTCCAATCCCCAGCAGGACCTGGGCTCCGATCAGCAGCAGGTACATCATGTTGGTGTTCGGCTTGTTGGCGCATACAGTGTCCTCAGCATGTTGGTCCCTGCTGCTGGTGTTGGCGCAAACATCCCGACCCACATCAGTCCTCCACGTTTCCCCAATCTCATACTGATTTGTTAGAAACTCTGGGAGAGCTGAGAGAAGGGCGCCAAGTGCCATGACAATGCCCCCACAGCCTATCAGGCGGGGCCGGTGCGCTTTAGCCCCAAAGTAGCTGACAAACAGGATCAATGCCAGGTTGCCTATTTCAAAGCTGCTGGCTATCACTCCAACGTCAGCGCTTTGCAGGTTGAACCGTCGCTCCAGGGTGGTCAGCACACTCAACTGAAAACAGCCACAGAGCACAAATCAAACAAGGATTATGGGAATGATGCTGAATGGAGCTGAATGGAGCAAAAATATGGTATAACTCTACAACCCCTGAGTTAGCATGCATCTTTTATACAGTGGTAGTGGCAGTACTGTAGCTAGCAGGTCTTCCCTCACAAAAAGTGATTTAAAAATGAATGATACCCATTGCTTGACTTGTGACATGCCACCACTGCTGACACATCTGTCAGCTCCATCTAACACATTTGCATATTAGGAGAAACCATGTGTGTTTTCATCACTCATGCTGTGTTAAAATGTGTCTTTCCATTGGAATATCCTGCATAACAAGCTGCTCAGTGTGGCTCCTCCATGCTAACAGGCTTCTGTTTCTGGTTAGTCAGACACAGCAACAATTACTTCCATGCCTTTGGTTAGAACGGTTTGTCACAAGCTTCTCTCTCTTTAACCAGCTGTCATTCAGACATGAGTCTACCAGTAACTTCAAAGTCTGCAGTCTGTCAGATGTGATTCACAGGTCAGTGAACTCTAAGGCCATGTTTATTTTCAGGATATACAAAGACAATGAGCATATACAGTATGTTTTGTTAGACACTAAAGTTCCATCACAATGTTTCAAAGTAAAGTGTTTCTCTAATGAATCTGAGATGAAGCAGAGCACAGATGTGTTTGCTTGTGATATGTGGGAACAGTCTCTCCGTTTCATGTGACTCAGTGTCACATTTGAACGGTTATTAAGCTATTTTCAGATTTGTGCCAAACTGCACTTGAAAGGGCATTAACATTTCCCCAACTGTTTCTGTTAAGAGAGGTCTGACTGAGCTCCAAAAAAAAAAATAAAAAAAAATCATGGCATCACAAGCATCCCTTTCTCAAAAACGTGATTTCATGGCAAGATAAATCAATTTTAGAGTTTACTGTTGAAAATGATTTCTATTAAATACACAATTATGCGAATGTAATGTACACAGTCCATCTACGTGCAGTATATTGGAGCAGAAGTTGTTTAAACACATAAGTGAGCTTTGGGGCTCAAATTTTCTTTATAGCATTTAAGACTACAGTTGATGCGCTACAGGTGAGCAGATATTAAGTTATACATTATACAGCCTGTTTGCTTTGTTTGTGAAGTTTGAAAAACGATGTCTTCTGTGACTTTTAGGAGTCAGAAGTGAAAGACGGTTGTTCTTCCAGCTGCTCTGACTGCAGTGACTCCTTCACTACAGATGAAAACATGGGACAATGATTAGTGGGAGCGGTTTGTGCTGGAGTCCTTCGGTGAAGTTGAGTGGATGGAAAACTTCAGAATGAGTCATGTTGTTTCTGCCCCTTGGGCGCATCTTCCTCACAAATGTGGACACACTGGACCGACTGCATTTACGCCTGGCTGGCTCTGCTCCAGCTGGGATTTGATGGCAATGTCGTTTCATTCTGTTCTTGGAAACAATGCCAAGCCCAAACAACCAGTTGGCATTGTGGCTTTAGCTCTGCACAGACAGCAACACTGTAGTAAAGTATAGTGGAAGGAGTGAAGGCCTCATCCAGTCCAGACAGATCCCATCCAGTTATGGGAGACCTGAGTAAGTGGGTCTGCCTGACAGCTTCTGCAGTAGAAACACTCTGGATGAGTTAAGCTTATCAACATGTCTGGAACAGGCAGCCTTCGAGGAGAACTAAAGCCAGGATAAGTTATATAGGAAAAACCAAGTGGATTGTATACCTGTTAGTGGTCACAGCCACATTCTGCCTGGATACCTATAGTAACGGAAGTCTTGTCTGAGCAAAAGGAATCGCAACCTTTCAAGATGTACTGACAGGGTCCATAGTATCAGCAGGCAGAAAAACACCGCTCAGTGTTGACATTCACCTCAGCCCATTAAGGTTTAGCACTGATGTGAAAGGGCTGAAATGGTGAAGGCTATTTGTGAAGGCAAGTTAACACTCACAACTTCAGATTGTTCCTGCAAAACCCAGAATCCCAATAACAGTTATTTCCATGATTAATTAATGACTTTGTCTATAAAATACCAGAAGTGGTGAAACTTATCATTTGAGAAGCTGGGCTGTTTTCAGTTTTGCCATAAAAAACAATGACTAAGACCAGGTGTTATGGTTTAGTCCCACTCACCAGGAGGGTGAGGGAGAACTGAGATAGGACTCAAGATTGCCGACCCAGGTGCAAGTAAAAAGGTGGTTTAATGGTGGGAAATGCACAGTAACAACGTATCATAGTCCATGTACAGAAACCAGCAAAGTAGGGCAGAGATGGTGGAGACCAGGACGACCAGGGGAGCAGACAGGCTAACAGCAGAAACCAGGAGAGGGAGGAACAGGACGGACAGGTGAATAGACAAACTGACTAGGAGGACTGGCGAACGAAAAAGGAAATCCACAGCACAGGAACTGTCAGCGTGGATAACAAAAAGAATGTCCAGCTAACCACATGGACAAAACACAAAGAGATCCACAGCACAGGAACTGTCAGCGTGGATAACACAATGACGTACAATACATACCACGAAAATAAGTCTAGGTCTTTTACGGGGTATGCAAGTTAATGCGATGACGGAACGTCTGCTAGAAGTATAAATAAGGAAGTAGGTAATCATCGGGATGCACCCCAGCTATGCGCACCGACAAACGAGTCGCTAATTATTGAATGCCACACAGCTGAGGTGCAGATCCTGCAAGATCAAGAGAGCAGAGGAGAGAAAGGCGGAAGAGAGACAGGTCGCGCCGAGCGGACCTGACACCAGTTGCCGATTAATGTTTTGTTGACTGAACAAGCTGAGTAATGTCCTCATTTCACCTTTACATACCACTATTTAACAATGTCAGTAATTCAGTGTGTTGGTTGTAACAGATGGATTAAAACTGTTCTCTCCTTACACCTTCTGTTAGTACTAGGGCTTATTAAAATGTGTATGATTATGAAAATGTTTATTTTCATTATCAATCAGCCAGTGATGACATCATAGTCAAATCAGGAGTTCTGTGGTATCTGCAGGTTGATTCCTGTTCAGTTGCAGGCTGCTAAATCAGGACACACAGCACAAGTGTCTTGTATACCTGATAGCTGAGTTTTGTCCCTTTGCTACCAGTTCACTTTTTAAGTCCTATCATCCAATCAGAGATTACTATTTGGAGATGAGCTCACATGATGTCAGTGAACCAGGTACCTAATGCCCTGCCCATGTAAATGAGCAGGGCATGAGCTCACCTAATGTCAGTAAACCATGTACCTAGAGCCCTGCCCATGTAAATGAGCAGGGCATGAGCTCACCTAATGTCAGTAAACCATGTACCTAAAGCCCTGCCCATGTAAATGAGCTCTGTGGTGATGAGGAAGCAGGCCATAGAACCACATGCATTTGTATAGGTAAATGGTTCCAACCCCTACCTCTGGTCTATTGTTCAGACTGTGTGAACAGGTGTCCAAAGCTAATGTGCCATAAAAAGCAGAACAAGTGTGATGCCACATTTATCAAAAACAAACAATAAAGAGCAAGAACATCCTCTTTAGGAAATCATCCTGACTGTGAGTTTCAGCGCTGCCCTGAGCTGCAGGACGCCTGATGCTCAGCAGGTCCGCTCACAAAGAAGATAAGATGTTCCACTCCATACATGGTAAAGGCATTTAGGGTTTAGTCTATTAAGGGTGAGTAAGCATTGTTACGATTCTAGGGGAAAAACATCTCTAATATCGAAACTATGTGATCACAGTGGCTGCCTGAGGCTCCGGAGCTCCTCCAGGACGCGCTGAGGAACATTTCGGGGCTCTCCAGGGAGCCGTGGCCCACAAAATCTATATCAGAGTCTCTGCATGCTTTGAAATCTGTCTGCGTTTGGGCGTTTTCATTGCAAAATGCCAGTAAAAGTACGCATTTTAAGGTGTTATAAGTACAAAGAACCGTATTTGTCACCCCAGTCATCTTTGTCATTAGTGTGGGTAACAGTAAAAGTGAAAGTGAGTAAAGCCCAATAAATAGGAAATAAGAAGGATGGGAGGGGAGATCTCTGACCTTGAATGACATTTTGGGTAAAATCAGCCAAGTGCCTCCCTAAATATAATAAAACATTTCCTAATAATTCTAGCGGGAGCGTTCAGGTAACTCTGTAGTTATTGGCTGTATGGCTGATTAGAAACAGGCTCAATTTAAGTTGTGATATAGTAAAGAAAAATGAAATATAAAGGCATATAAATATTTTCTCACAATAATAACAAACCAGGGACAGCTGAATAGCATGAAATGTGTCCTGCAGGTTGTACTTCACTGAGCTGGAGTTTTCATCTGACCTAACCTTTCTGCTGCGCGTTATTTAGTCCGACGCGCGCAGGCAAAGCCCAGGCTGGGATGACCCAAGTGTGACCTACATCAGTAGGGTCTCCCAGTTTACACCAACAAGAGAGGTCAGTCTCTGAGTCCTGCTATATGAGCTGGGGTTGTGTTGCACTCACCAGGTATGCTCCGACGGTGCCCTGCGCCAACATCAGGGCACATTCCGCTATCAAGAATATCTTGATATTCGAGAAGCACGAAGGATTTTTGCGGAGACTGTTTACTTCCATGTCGCCGCTGCTCCGGTCCGAGTCCCCTTGCTGCTTCACCTGCATCTTCATATACTTTTTAGCCACACAGCACCGCGAGGACCCAAGCACACAATAGGATGGCCGCGGGGAGACACTGGCAGGCGCAGTGTGTCGCTGTCCTTTAGAGACTACATTCGCGGCGCTCCCGGTCGTTTTGTCTCCTGATTCAGAAATTTGTCCTCGTTCATTTGACAGGCTAGGAAACACACATCCACACTCCGTAGGGCTCTGCTGCTCGCCTGCGCCTAAACATCGCCTCTTTCTCGACGCACAGGAACGTGTGAACTCCCTGACGGTGTTTGCAAATGCACACGTGAATCTCTGTCAAACAGCATGTTTCCGTCGTGGTGTTTTCCGGGTTTCCGCTGCAGCTGAAGGTTTAACACTCAGTCTTTTACGTCTCTTCTAACTCCTGCCGCCACTCCGGGCTGTCATGGTACTCCACGTACAACGAGTGCGCTCTGTTTCTGAGCTCCCACCTCTCTCTCGCTTTCTCTCCTCTTGTGTAGACGCGTGCACGGCCCTAGAGGCGCTGTGTAGCAGCATCACAAGTCTGCTCAAGTTGCCTCTGACTTGAAAAATCACTACAGTAGTCCTGTGGGGCCCCGTGTGTGTGTGTGTGTGTGTGTGTGTGTGTGTGTGTGTGGTGCTTCACAGCCAGTTTAAAATGAAGTGCTGCAGTTTTTCATCTGAAATCCCCTACCACATCCACACCCACAGGGATCTGTGGTTCTGATTGGGAGTTTTATTTGGTCTCAATCCTGCAACTAAGGATGAGTTTAGGTCTGCAACTATTACTATTATTTTATTTGGCTTAATCTGCTGATTATTGTTTCTGGTAGTTGTTTGGTTTATAAAAAATAAGATAAGATAATCTTTCAGTGGATTATAACCCCCACAATATCTTGGTAGGCCAATCTTCAAGCCATAAAGACTGTATTTTTAAAACATCCTATATTACTCCTGAGTATCTCTTTAAGCAAATGTGAGTTATTGAAAAATTAAATCAAATACTAAACAGTTCCCATCACAGGTTCCTATAGAGCCCATAGTCCAAAACCCAAAGAGATTTAGAGGTGTCTGCAATTAGCAAGACAAAGGAAAAGTGACACACTTTGGGAAATGCCCTTGCTTCTTTGCTTTGAGCTGGATGAAAAGATCAATTAGTCTGAAACAACAACCAGCAGCCGGGTAGGTTAGAGTGAGACAGGAAACACGGGGTAAACAGGTAGGCTATGTGGAAATTGTCATCCTAACCAAGAAATTATCCATCATATAAACTCCCATTACACTAAAATGTGTTGTTTCTGTGCTTCAGTTTAGTATGAATCATTAATTGACCAAAAACCATATAACATATTAATTAGTGAGCATTGGAGGTGCTGGCACTGTTGAACAGAGGAAGGCTAGCTGTTCAGCTCAGCTAAGCAACCGCTGATTGTAGCTTTATATTCACTGCACATACATGAGAGTGGCATTGAGTTGTTGGCACGAAAGCAAAAAAGCATTTTTCCAAAGACCATTCCTTTAAACAATTCCTCTATTATCAAAATAGATTCTTATTAAACGCATTGACTAGTCGCTGTGGCTCTTGCTTTTGCTTTTGGTTACAGCAGGAGCTGTAATGTTTGCGTTGTGTGTCTTCCAACATTTATTATTGGATTATCATGTTGTCTGCATGTCTGGGATGAGGTATTACAGTGACTATGATGTAATGTCACCACTTAATGTGATGATGATGGAGTAGAACTAAACAGAATGGTAAACAAATACTGGGTAAAGGTTGCGAGCTGGTAATTGTCAAACTGTGAAATGTGTGTTTGAACCAAACAGAACATTTAAAAAACTGATCAGAACATCACAGTGACATACAAGGGCTTTATGAAATCATTAGATATGTTGTTCAAAACTAGTGGAACTGAATTGATTAGATAAACAAAACAGGTAAATTGATAATGAAAATAAAAGCTCCAGCCCTAAAAGCTAGTACTGTCCGAACATGAACTATTTATTGCTTAATGTACTTTTTCTACCACTGGCTTGTTTGAACTATTAATTGATATAGATAACAGCCAAAAATACGGTATACATTCAGAAGGATTTTGGCTCATTGTACAAAATTCTCACCTCAATATATCATTTTGGTTCTTTGGAATACACAAATGATAGAAAGATATGCTGTGAGATTCTAAATACATAAATAACATTCATTTTAAAAGCTATAACATTCTCCTTTAGTACAGCACAAAAACTGTCAATAGCATGAACATAAATTCAACTTTTAACCTCTGGTAAGTGAATATCTTTAATAAAACCTCATCAAGATAACACTGTGACAGTTGTGTTGTCCATTGTGCAGTAAACCCAACGGTTCTGAAACCAGCTTTGTCTCACTTCCCTAGAACAAAAGATGAACCGTTCCACACTGAAAACTATAAATGGTCAGGCAGGATTCAACAGTCGCCTGTGATTCAGCACAGCCCCCTCAGTCTCAGACTGGGCTTTGGCAAGTGTCCCATGAAAAATAATCAGCAATCACAGACGCTCCCTCACTCTTGACCAGTGTCCTCCCACACAGAAGTCCTTCATGTTGCTTCCTACGTTCAGTCTGCTGGGAAAAAGCAGAACGTGGCCTGTCAAACTGACAGTTTTATTGTTAGGAGCTCAAATCAGACTGCATGGTGCAGTGTTAAAATCCCACAGAGTGCAGATGAGCCAACACCGAGACAAGTATGTAAATATTGAAAACTAAAACAGTACTGTGAAATGTAAATCTAACCTATAGTGGAGCAGTTTGGGCCACGTTTTAGTTTCCAAAGGGCTGAAACCTACACAGCTGCAACAATTTCTGTGTTCACATAGCTTTTATTCAGTAGCAGTGACACCATCACTAACCCTACGGTTAGAGCCTTTTCAGTCTGTGGTGCCTGAAGAATACCTACAGTTACGCTTTAACCAAAGTGCCTGCTCGATGATTGAACACCCCCTACACCTGACATTTGTTCAGTGAACTAGCAGGGATGCTTGGAGCACTGAGGAGCTTTGTTATAAAAATCCATATTAAAGTTTCTGTGTGGTTTCAGATTTCTCTGTTTCACTGTAAAGGCATCACAAAAGTATTTATTTTGAGGTTTTATAAGAAGAGAGGTTATATTTTAAACCCTTTTTCCATACTGATCTGATTTGTTGTCAGAGTGAGTGAAACTGAACAAGGATGGGTGGGTGTGTGGGTGGGTGGAGGTGTTCTTGACCCTGACAGCTTGGGTCAAATCAGCCAATTACTGCTTTCTCAAGTAGAATTTTACTGCTCAGTGTGTGTGTATGTATGTGTGCACCACTGTTTACATACAGTGTGCATGCAGGGACATGAGTCAGGTAATGACAGGCGTTGGGTGGAGATACTGTAGCTCGGACCTGTGCCAGGAATGCATGAATGGAAAAGCCTACAGAGTATTGTTCTGCTCCCTCAAACAGCTATTTATAGGATATGGAGAAGGGTGCGCTGTGAACAAGAGGCCCAGCCTGTCTGCTTCACACTGTGAAATGGGAGCGGTCAGAATAAAACACAGTTTCCTGCTACATTTTGTTTTCATGATGTAATTTAGAAAGTCCATTAGTAAGCCTCAGGGCTCTTAAAGTTATTTAACTATAATGCTCTTATTAAATGTATTGTACTTTGCAGACATTGTCTATTGGCGTCATACAGTTTTACCAATGGATTCCACTAGTAGAGTGCATATTCCTAGATCTTCTGCTTAAACATTATCAGTATCACTTTTATTATAGTGTTTGTGCATCTGTGAGTTTTACATTAAACTACACTTCCAGCCAAATGTTGGGCACTTTTTCATCAAATTCAATGGGGAAGTGTGTCCAGACATTTGACTAGTAGTGTAGATGTATCATTAGAAAGGTGAAACAAGTACAGAGTACTCACTGAAGTTAGTTTTTTAACATCAAAACATTTCATTTTTAATGGTAAAACAATTTTACGCTGTGATTCTATGCCAGTGATGATGTGGCATACATGCTTTCCTTGGTTTGAATTATGTGTCATGAAAAATCTCTTCAAATGATTTGATATTTGCTTTCATAACATGAAAGCAAAAGTGAAGTGTGAATACAGTATATTTGGAATTGTTACAGAGCCCATGGCATGCTTTTCCTTGCAAACTCTCGCTGGTGAGACTTTTTTTTTTTTTTTAACAACTATGTAAAGTGTTATGGAACAGTTCATGGATTTCCTTGAATGGTCATATTCTCCTGGCTGTGTACGTTCATGTGAGTTTGCATGTCTTTGCTTTATATTGTGTATTCAGGAATGAATAGTAATTACACTGTAGGTGTAAATAGATGCTAACTGTTGGAAATCATTTCCTTCACAGATACTGTTTCTTCCACAGTCACAGAGTAGAGAGTATCATAATGCACTGCTGTCGCTGGCTCTGACTTCTCATGGCTCACTGAAGTTTAGGTCCCATGCAGAGTTTCACCTGCAGTAACAGAGTCAGGGCAGCCTCTCCTTGTCTGGGTGCTACTGGCAGCTGTCAAGCTTAGTTATGGTCTTTGTGCCGTTACTGAAAACACAGATTCAAACATCACTGACACATGGAAAACATCTGGAATTCTTTGGTTTTATTTAACTCAGTGCTGATTCAAGACTGCTGTTGTACAGTTGTGTGTTCCTCAGCTCATCTGTCATTAGATCTGAGCATCCATCAGAAAATTTTCAAGCCTGTCTCGCGTACCACAGCGGTTGCCATAGAAACAGGTCCCAGAGGATATGGGAAGCAGCAGGCTCAGTGCAGAGGGAATTTGTGCTCATCTTGTGAACTTGTCAACAGATTTAAAAAAAAATGAGATGTGTGACTTACTGCGAAAACACAATAGTCATTACTGATGCCATGTCTGGCATTTGATATGATAATCCACTTTAGTTTTCTAGCTGCTAGGTTCTTTGGATATGATTGAAACAGACTCAATCACCACAAAAGGCTAAATAGTCTCAAATGAAATGTAGATATACTGTGAACCTCATCTTTCATTTAAAAACCTCTTATCTTAGGTATTAGCTTGCCTGACTTCCTGGATTCTTATTGTCACCGTCAAACTTCAGTTTTTGTAAGGATCAATTAAACAAGACACATTGTGTTAATAAGTGAGCTTTAGAGGTGTTGGTAAACAGATGTTTTATCTTTGGACAGCCAGCTGTTTCCCCCAGCTAAGCTAATTGTCTTCTGACTCCATTTAGCACATAGACATGAGAGTGTATCTATGTCAGACTTTTCCTTTAAGGCAGATTGATCAATGCATGGAGTTTGCATTTATCCTTGCCCCATAATGTCTGTTTCTACCTAAGCCACATTTCAGTATTTCTTATCGATATCATTGTTCATTGAAACCTTAAGCCACTAAAAACAACAGTGGTTGTTCCTCACTGTTATTCAGCCAGAAACAAATATAAAAGGCACAACTTCCACAGACTGTTCTCATTTTTAATAGCCTCAGACTAAAACCAGATCTTTGTGTTCAGACAGTGACAGCTTTCTGTTGCATTCTGTGCTC